GTATTCTACGAAAGATCAAGAAAACAAAAATTCAATTTGCCTTCGATATAGCAGATGTTTTGTTATTTTTTATGACAAAAAGGAAGTTTACGATAATTTTTTAGAAAATTAATATACGTCCGCGGTAGACATGGCTATAAAAGAGCTCTTTTCGTGACATTTTTCCTTGTGATTTCCTCTAACTCAATTTTGCTAAACAAATCAGGCTTAAACCTCCACTATTTGATTTTTAAGAATAATCTTAAACTGCACAAGAATTCATCAATGTTTGTCTGGAATATGATAAAAAAGAACATCTTAGTCTATCTAATTTTTCAAAGTAAAGCTAGGTGCACACTGCCGATCAGATCAACTCGATAATCCCGATTGTCCAAATTTCAACGACCAAGCGTAACCACATTCTTGATCGGGCCTGTGTACGACTTCTACCCTACCGCTACACGACTGTACACGACCTTAACTCGACCATGCACAACTCCTTAACGACTCCAATCCGACCACTAATTGAATACATTTTCGATAATTCCGACCAATTCACGATTTCTTCACGATCTTTACTCGACTAGCTAGACCAAATCAACTATACTCGAACTCAGCCTGATCTCGACCAGACGAGATTGACCTCATCGTATAGGGGTCGTAGGAATAGTCGGGAATTGGTCGGGTATGTACAATTTCAGTATAAAAACGTCTGAATTTCTTCATAAGACCCGCTGCAGCGGAGAGGTTATCTGTCCGTAAGTACGTACGTACGTCCCAACAATTAGTTTCCCTCAACCAAATTTTATGAAACTGCGAATTTGGGTGGCGACTCTTTATAACGCTATATGCAAGCTGGGGCTGATTATCTGTGTATTTTACCATCCCCTTTTCCTTGATTTCTTACAAATCAAGCCTACTATTTGTGTCATATATGTGCATATGTATGCAATCAGTTTTTTCCATGGACTTGATATCCAGTAGTTGAATGATTAAATATTTTGTTTTTGGTGTATCCATGCCAACAACCTGCTTGTTTTTGCTAAACAATATAACAAAAAGACGGATAAATATGTCACAAAATTTGACCAAAAATAGAATTTCAATCCCCTGGACTACATTGTAATACTTTTTCTGAAACTGTTTACATATATCTATCAAGATTTCAAATAAAAATCATTTGTATTTCGTCTCATTTTTATGTGAAATTGCGTCAAACAGTTCGTGTGAAAAAAGTGTTCGTAAACATTCGACCGTACGGTGACATATAGTTGTTAATTTCTGTGTCATTTGATGTCCTGTGGAGAGTTGTCTCATCAGCAACTATACCACATCTTCTTATTTTTATACAAAAGTTTCTGGACATACGGAAAATACGAACAGTCAAAGAAAAAATAGCCCATAAAACAGGTAAAATATAAATATTGATGTTCTTAAAAACTAACATTGAGGCTAAATTAGTTATCAGCTGTCTAATGATGAATTTAATGCACAATTACTTTCATCTATGAAAAATCGTCTGGGGCCAACATGCCAGATCTACTTCCCTTCCAGAACACCTGAGATCATCCCAGGTTTTGTTGGGTTTCATGTTTGTTGCTAAGTTTTTAGTTTTCTATGTTGTCTTATGTGGATTGCTATTTGATTTCTCCTCGGTTTTCGGTTTTCGCTTTTCGCTATGGATGTGTCGATTTGTTATTTTACCTTTGAGTTTGATTGTTCCTTTGGTATCTTTTGTCTCTCTTTTAAAATTGTACCCCTCCCTTCAAAAGTACACACACGTACTTTACATTGAGGAATTTATGTACAGTTAAAAATAAATAGTAACAATATATCTTTGCGGAAGAAAAGTTATGAGAGTTAATCAAATCTACACACACTTTTAGAAAATCGAGTTGCAGTCATTTGTACTCGTGTATGGCGGAGTAGAGATCGAAGAGTGGTCGAATGTGGTTGCGTAGAGATCGGGTATTGGTCGAGTTGGTCCTTTATAAGAAACATATAGAAGTCGCAGTGACCACGAAGCGATCGGGCATTGGTCGAGTTAAACTTGACCACATATCAAACAGGTTGTGGTTGATCGGGAAATGATCGGATATTAGTCGAGCAAAGGTCGAGTACTGATCGGTAAAATATTTGTATTCCGACCAAAATCGATCTCTACACGATCCTTTCCCGATCAATTCGATCGCTACTCGACGAATTCTCGATCTCTTCTCGAGTGACTGGCTTCTCGATCCTTACTCGAATATTTTTGACATGTCAAAAACTCTCGGGTAGAAAGTCAGATTGATGACGACTAAGGTAGACCATCCCGAACATGCTTGTCGATTGAGCCAGACCAGTCGCCCGATCGCTTAATCTGTCTTGATCGAGATTGATCGAGTTGGTCTGGTCGGCAGTGTGAACCTAGCTTAACCGAACTGAATTATTGTTGTATAAAGCATAGATATCAGAAAGTTCTCAAAATCATTGTTCTCTGGTGGTCCTTGAAGAATTCTTCTGGTCCTAACTACTATTTCTATTGCAAAATTTTGATGGTGAAAACCTTCAGACCACCACTTTTCAAAAACTTTTATTGTATATGGATATATTTGCAAGTATAAAACGTATACCAGACGTTTCTTAGACTTTATTTTATTAAATCCGTTGGTTGTGTACTGATTGATACTTCAGTATGGTAGAACAAGATTTATATCACAAATCTAATGTGGCATTGACAGTAAAAAGATCATATCGTAGGGAACATGTGTACGAAGTTTAAAGTTGATTGGACTACAACTTCATCAAAACAAACTTGACAAAAAACTTTAACTAAAAAATATAACCTGAAGCGGGACAGACGAACGGACGCACAAACCAGAAAACATAATGCCCATAAATGGGACATAAAAACCAAACTTAATAAAGATAATACGAACAAACAATCAAAGATATCTAAATGCATTAGAAAAGGGCCTCGGTGGCCAAGTGGCCTAAGTAGTTCTGCTACTGTAATCACTAGCCAGTCAACACTGAGGTTGTGAGTTCGAACTCTGCTCGTGCGGGTGCACTCGACTCCAATCTTAATTGACTAGGATTGCCGTTTTTCCTATCGAAGGTCGGTGGATTTCTCCGGGCATTCCAGCTTTCTCCACACAAAAAAACTGACCGCCACGAAATAGCCGAAAAGGGGCGCTTAATAGTGGCGTTAAAACACCAACAATCAATCATATATACTAAGAAGTAAGTACAGGTACATTGTATGTGTAAGACAATTGATGCAATCATGCTATATCGGCCATCCGTGATGATATCGATATGTCACAGTTGCAAAGGCTTGATCAAATCCCTAATCTGTATGACGTTACGTAATCGATATCAGTCACGGCTACAGATACATGTATATACAAAAAATATGTTAGCTTATTCGATATACGTCTATACACAAATAATGCCATATAAACAGAAAGTCAATTACGTATATACAGATATAATTGGGCGCGGAATCAGGGTCAAAAATACTTATTTAACTTTTCGACAAAAGAGATGATTTCCCAATTGTGAACTTTCCATTTCTATGTAGACATATTCCATCAGCGCCTGCACACGAAGTATATTTCTCCCAATTGATACGATATTCCCGGGCTTGTATTTCCTATAATGATTTCCTTGATAGAGAGTTGATGCTAAGAAGGAAGCTATTAAACCATACGTGTCAAATACTGAATTCGACATCATCCCCTTCGTAAATTTTACGGACGCCATCACGAGTTTGTTGACCGTTACAGAATATCCGTTACATAGATGATATCGGATATGTTCTTATGTCGTAACTGCAATCTCGTTCTCTTTCCACGAATGTGAACTTCCGAATTATACTATTAATCGGATTTGTAATAACATTATCAACACGACGGGTGCCACATGTGGAGCAGGTTCTGCTTACCCTTCTGGAGCACCTGAGATCACCCCCAGTTTTTGGTGGGGTTCGTGTTGCTTAGTCTTTAGTTTTCTATGTGTCGTCTTGTGTACTATTGTTTTTCTGTTTTAGCCATGGCGTTGTCAGTTTATTTTTGAACTATATACCCTCTGGTATCTTTCGCCCCTCTTTTATTTAAGTATATACCTATTTTTTAATATAAATTTGTAAATACGGAATTATAGCATCACTATCTGTAATCGATTACAGCAGAAAATGATTTCCTCACGATATATATAAGTACTGATTTTCTCTGAGTTTTTACTGTTATTTGATGTTAAATTCTACACTTCTGTTCCGTAGATTTATTAATTAGCTTGAAATAATCCATTTGATAAAGTTAATTTATTCTGTCTGGTCAGAAGTCATTAGTAAGTGATATCCTGAGGAGGGATTGCCTTGAAGTTTCTTCTTGACCTTCCTTATTCTTGATTTGAATCTTATACAGCTGATATGAGCTAGTTAAGTCTGCTCCGAGAAAAATAGAGTTTTAATTTCATGATGTTTTTTTTCAAATGCAAATATCTGACAAATGTATGTAGAATTATGGACACAATCAGCGTTTAAATAATAATCTCGTAGTGTCCAGTAGGTATTTCACCATTTGCGATCACATATTGATTTGTAAATAATGACCCCAAGGCTTAGATTACCTTAGCCCTATTTGGCACAACGTTTTGGGTCATCAATAGTGCTCTTCAACTTTGTACTTGTTTGGCTTTTCTAACTATTTTGATCTGAGCGTCACTGATGAGTCTTATGTAGACGAAACGCGCGTCTGGCGTATCAAATTATAATCCTGGTACATTTGATAGCTATTTACAGCAAATCGTGGTGGGGCAATCTGTAAACTGATCGTGGACAATAAGTACACTGCATCATGATTTTTTTTAGTGTTTTTTTTTTTTTTTTTTTTTCAATAAAAAGGTATATTTTCAGGTCTAAATCTATTATATTTTCACATTTGAATACGTATAATTCATTTAAGTATTAACATTCAGGACAGTTAGATGATAGCAAATACATGTCTATTTATAGGAGTAAATAACAATCTTTATGGCACATGGGAGGTTAAAGAACAATATGTATAAATGAAAAGGGATATCATTGCATAAGTATTGACACAAATATTCTTTACTTCATATTTAATTATCCTTTTGGTGTTCTCTTCAAAGGAAATCAAGGAAAGGACAAGGTACGATAAGGCCTGTTTTTGGCCTCGCCTATTTTCTTAAAATCCCCTAATCTCACACATTTTCTGAAATTAATGGTTTTGAAGTTCATCCAAACAAACTTCAAACATAAAGGAATATTTTAACGTGATAAGTAACTTTCCAAAACAAAATTTGAAAAAATGAGATAATAGGGGGGCCAAAAACGGGCCTTATCGTACCTTGTCCTTTATAGTAAAGAAATCGGATAAATAAATGGAAGCATTTAATTTGATAAAGACTTAGAAATTGAAATCATCAACAATATTATATACATACATGACATGTGTTCCTCACAAGTTTCAATGTGTTACTAATTACTTATTATAGAGTCAATAATTGTGTACTAGTAACTTGTTTACGTAACCTATATACATCTCTTAAATGTCATTTATCTACATTGTAAATAAAACAATAAATTAATGTAACAAAAAGCTGCTGTTCCAACGAATAAAGTTCCATGACTCCTCAGTGTCATAAACAAAACTTATTAAAAAAGTAAAGGGATTATTTTAATAGATATAAACCAGTCACCAAAATTAATCAAAAACTGCTCAAAACCATTCACGAGTTATTGTCCGAAAACTGTATACTTCACCTTTTCTATGAATAAAATACCATAACTCTGAAACGTAAACCATAATACATCCAGCAAACGGCCGTATACAAATTTATAAGAATTACATATAGTCCATGCTTCAATTGAAATTTAAAATAACTCTATAGAGTAGTTTTCTTGAAATATTACATAATAAAAATATATGGTTTAATTAACGCACCGGACAGCTCACAAAGTTTCATACTTCGTTTAAACAGTAAGTAATAGTTTTAATGTACAAATCTATTCCAAGTTCTTGTTCGTTTTCAAGTGGATTTATTGTTGAATACAGTTCGTTCAAACGTTCCTGAGATAAAGGACAGGGTAACGGTGAAACAATAACAGTTTCATTATTTGTTGCCTCAGGAACAGGACCATTCCAATCAATCCCATAGTTCCGATAATTTTGTTCTCCTGTCTCTGCTGAAAATAACTCGTCAATTTCACAATGACCCTGTCCAACATTTGACAGAACCCCACTTACAAAAACTTGAAGTGGGCTATTGCCATGCTCAGTCCTCAATCTATGATTATTCCAGGCTTCCTTGAAAACAGACAGAGCGGCTTGAATACGAGGTATGTATATATACTGAAGACACCATAAATGTAATGCATTATTAACATCTAAATGACCATTCTCCTCCAAAAAATGAAATAACTTATAGAAAACAAAAGTACAAGACTGAAACATGTCTCTCCACAAACGTTCTATGCGTTGGTTATGGACACTCCTACCCGTTATTATCGAGCCTCTTCCAACTCCTCTATGTGCTATCATAAAGGTAGCAATATCTAAATTTTCTAAGCCATGATCATTTCTAACCCTTGAAGGGACTACATGTTCTTCACAAGCTTTCAGAAAAGGTTTCAACGCCGTCCGTGCACTGTTGTCAAGGACTATATTCAAATATGTCACCATTCTACTAAACCCATCAATTGCACCATGTATAACCATGCCCCATCTGAAATTAATAAACACGTCTTAATAAAATTATATCCAAAAATTTTTCAATCATTATAGGGTATTTTTAACTTATCTTAATTTGTTATCAGTTTTCTGTTTTGTTTGTCGTATAACTGCATACAATATGGCATAATGCTATCACATCGTTGATTGTACTAATAGTCATCAATTAGTGTTCATGCAGAAGATTTTTCTCCATCAAAATCATCATGTTAAATTCGTAATGAATACTTTGATCAAATCAATATTATGCCAATTAAAGTTTGGCCTTGCATTTAATGTGCAATGTCAAATACATTCAATACTACCAAAGAACATGATCAAGGGATTGTAGATTTATCAATATTATCATACGAAATCTTTACGGAAGCGTATTAGCGCCACACATTTTTTTTTATATTTCTTCCTATGTTTGCCAATGTTTATTAATTAAATGCACATTTATACCCCTAGAGTTTGAAGGCATATATCAACGTTATCATAACGCGAACCTTTGCGTTATTTCGCAAACGTTAAAACGCAAAGGTTTGCGTAATTTCGCAAATGTTTGCGTTATTTCGAATTAAACAAAAATTGTGTGGCGCTAATACGCTACCGTAAATCTTCGCTATGCTGAATGAGAAAAAGATAATGCTGAATTTACGACAAATCTGGTACAAGCCCTGTTCAAAAATGGTCTCGCTCTATCAGACATTTAGATTAGCGTTTGCAGAAAAAATGGAAACGATAAAGAACCTGGTATGATAATAGTCGAATTACAAGACATAAATCAAAAGAAAGACAAGAAAGAACTAAAGAAAAAACATTTAAGGGTATGTTTAATGATATTAGCATAATCAATTTAGCATATAACCCTTAAATTCAGCGCCATTTCGATTTATTGATTTGTGTTTGTTTGCTGTTTTATTGTTATGATAGTTGTCATTTATTCTTTAATATGTATAGGAAGGACAAAGTAATTTGGGATTAAAACATCAAAGTTGTCAAATTAAATCATTTTACTAAGCTTGTGTATTATAAATCACCTGATTAGTTTATGATTTCCATCAACATGCCAAAGGGCGTTTGGTCCAGATACATTATAAGATCTCCTATGTATTGTCCTAGCCCACCTTATTGCTACACCTGCCTCATCAACTCGAATAAGTGATTGTGCAACTCTTGACCTTTGTATCACAACACCTTCTGACGCCAGTGTACCTTGAACTAGTCTTTGCCCCAAAGATCTATTAAACTGGGTAATGCGTCGAACCCGAACGTCTAATTCAGTGTCAGAGATCTCGGTGTATCGTCTTCTTAGACTTATTCCAAAAGATCTGAAATTAGGTAAATAGATATAGGAAGATGTGGTATGAGTGCCAATGAGACAACTCTCCATCCAAGTTACAATTTATAAAAGTAACCATTATAGGTCAAGGTACGGCCTTCAACACGGAGCATTGGCTCACACCGAACAGCAAGCTATAAAGGGCCCCAAAAAATTACTAGTGTAAAACCATTCAAACGTAAAAACCAACAGTCTAATCTATATAAAAACGAGAAACACGTATGAACTACATAAACAGACGACAACTACTGTAGTCAAATGGCTATCACTAGTAGGACTACTAAAAAAATAAAAAAAAAAAAATCTGATGGTCTTTATTTATTCTATAAATGCAGTTAACAAGCACTTTCACCCATGTATACAGTTCCCTTCCCTTTCTATGCATGATGTACATCATGCCTTTGGACGTTCATATTGTGCAATTCTTTATATGCATGATGTATATTTGATTTAGACGTTAAGCAAGCGGCAACCAATCACCAATGAAATACAAAATCAATTTTGGAAGGTTTTGAGGAACAACTTAAATTATAGAAATGGAAGCAGATATAACAAAATGAAACCAAAATTTCAATAAAAGAAAAGCTATTGATAATTATAAATCAAAGTACTGTAGTACTGAACATCGGATGTCCGCAGGTTCTAGTGGAAGGTCACACGTACTTGTCTCGGAAAGTAAATTACATCTCTATACCTGATAGTGAGATTAATGTACAGAGATATGTATTTTCAGAGACAAGTTCGTGCGTGGATGATGAATATATGACAGGGACTTCAACTTCACCGTTATAATCATAATATTGTAGTAATATTATATTAATATTTGTATATAACAGTTACATGTATATATAATTTTTATCCATTTGTATATCATTCTATTCTACTATTCTAATAATAGTGCAGTGCAAGTGCATGGTGGATATTCTCTGTAATAGTTCGATTTTTCTAAAAGATTGGATTTGAGCAGGCATTCATATTTTCACGCAAAACGTATTGAGATATTCTTCCGCATGCGTTAACACACTTTTTTCTGTACGTGTGCATAGATATTTATGATTTTTTTTACTTATATATATATATATATTTTAACGACAAAACATTTTCATATTATTAATCTATGTTCTAAAAACAATATTTATATAAGTATTCATTGAAGAAATTAATTTATAACAAGCGATAAGGAATGTTATTTTGCACTCGATAATGTCCGCATATTTATAAATCGGTTCGTGTTCAATATCGTAGCAGCTACGTAGCGGCTACGTAGCTGCTACGTAGCTGCTATCAATATTTATACTGCACTCGTTCTATTTGAGCAGTCAAAATGCGTTGACCGTATATTTCTATGTCATATACAGTCACTGACCAGATATCACTTTTCCTCATGAATATTTAAATAGAAATTGCCGAAATTATAATGAATTATTCATACGACCTATTCAACCTGTTCTTGTTTCCAATGTATACAACGACTCAAACTTATTTCTTTTGCAATTTTTGGAAAAAAAACATATTTCACTTGTTAATATTTTTGGTTTGCAAACTATAAATCATTATGTTTTATGCTTATTGTTGATATTTTAGTCCATTCTCAAACAAATTCGTTCACCATCGATTGCGGGTTTCAACAGGAAATGTACATTTCATTGTGTTGTATATTTCTCCGCTGCATGATATGAGGCCTTTTTATAAAAGGGGGAAGTTTCCCAATATTGAAATCAAATAATAACATTAACACATTAAACAACAATTGAAAATGTTTTTTTTTTTAGATTGCAGTATAAAGACAATAATAGTGCATTGACTTGACATATCAACGATATAAGGATTCGGTCCGAAACGGGGAAAAAGCTCGGCAGAGCCTCGCATTTCCCCGTTTCTAAGCCTCCTTGATATGTCAAGTCAATGCACTGATATTGTCTATATATATATTTACACCCCAGTTCTATTGTTATACTTCATAGTTTCTATTTCTGAAACAAGTTGTTTCAAGATATTAAAAAACACATTTTAGGAAATTCCAATAGAGAAAAAAAAAATAAGCATCTATTTTGAATAAAAAAAAATCCTTTAAGGGAAAAATAATTTGATTGATAGCGTTGAAAAACTAAATAAAATTGTTCGCGATTTGCGAGAAAAAAAATTTCTGACTCCGACAAAAAACCATACACCCCCCTTTGAAGTTAAAATGGTTGCTCCCTAAATACTCCTTTGCTTGAAGGTAAAATTTTTGATCCCAGTCATATGTCTCCATTCTAAAGCATTGATCTTAAAAAAAAACAGGGATTTTAACTCCCGGACCCCCCCCCCCCCCTGGATCCCGGTCGTCGGGTTTCTAATCCAGACACACCTATCCCTCAGTGGGTCCGAATATGAATGTTTGTTAATTCTCGAGAAGAGGGGGAGGGGGCTTTTTTTTTATAAAACGGTAACAAAAAACAACATTTATGATTACCTTCATTAAACTGATACAGGTAAGTACTTTGGGTTTTAATATTGCCTTTATCTTTAGTCTCTTCTACCAAATCCAACGCTTGACTCAAAATTTTGTCCGTCTTATACCCGTCCATATTGACAACTGCATACAAGGAGCATGATGTATTTTTTTTTTGTGTGATAAGAATGCACGAAACGGTCAACCTTGAACTGCTGATCCATATTAGCACCAGGATTTAACGTTACACCCCAGTCCTATTGTTATACTTCATAGTTTCTATTTCTGAAACAAGTTTAAATTGAATAGATCTATTGTTACAAATAACAATGGATTTTGACCACAGGGTGTGACGAGCGGGGTTTCTGGAAACCCCTGCTTCTACATCCCGCAAACAAAGTCCATTGTTATTCGTAACAATAGAAATTGATTTTTTTTAAATAGCATGAACATAAGAAATTACTAATAGTGTTCACTACAAATTGTTCATGATATTAAAAAAACACATTTTAGGAAATTCCAATAAGCATCTATATGGAATACAAAAATAATCCTTTAAATACTCTTTTGCTTGAAGGTAATTTTTTTTTATCCCAGTCATATGTCTCTATTCTAAAGCATTGATCTTTTAAAAAAATGGGGATTCTAACTCAAGGACCCCCCCCCCCCCCCCCCCCCCCGGTACCCAGTGGCCGACCCGGGGTTGGGGTTCCGCGGGTTGGACCCGACTTTTATTTAAAAGATCAATGCATTTGAATGGTTGGACCCCCCCCCCCCCTTTTTCTCTTGAGTTTGGATAAAAATAGCGGTTAACCGATAAAAATAGCGGTTAATCGATAAAAATACCTTTTGAACCAAATGGTACACCATAATTTGTGCTGTTACACCACTATCCCAATTTAGTGAAAAAGGTTGATAGCTCCAAGACATGTATAAACCCACAACATCCTGTATGTGCATGTCCAGAGTCAGGAGCTTGCAATTCATTGGTCCTTGCTATCATGTTTGTTTTTCGTTCATTGTTTTGTTCATAAATCATGTCATTAGTTTTCTCGTTTGCAGTGTTACATTATGTCATATCGGGGTCTTTTACTATCTGTATGGGTTTTACTCAATGTTGAAGCTGTACGGTGACCTATTATTGCTTACATCTACGACTTTTGTTCTCTGTTGGATAGTTGTCTCATTGGAAATCATACATTTTTTTTCATATTTAACAACTGACTGGCGACGCTGACGACAGAAATTAGGATCTCTTTTTTGCCCCCGTGACAACGGGTCCGACAAAAAAGACCCAGAAAAAGTAGAGCCAAATCTAGTAAGAAATCAGTGCTAGTTCACAAGGTTATAGTCCACAGTCACAGAAGCATATCGTCTTACTTGAACACATTATTCACAATTAGAGCTTACTTCGAAAGGCTGCATGCATAGCCGAAAACAGCAAATACTAATTTTTAAGTCTTTGAACCTGCTTCGGCTCGACCTCATGTCCTCCGACACTGGAAGGCAAGCACACTACCACTAGACTATCAAAGGCGGTTTTTATGACACATAATCATTATAGATATAGGAAGATGTGGTATGAGTGCCAATGAGACAACTCCTCATCCAAGTAACAATTTATAAAAGTAAACCATTATAGGTCAAGGTACGGCCTTCAACACGGAGCCTTGGCTCACACCGAACAACAAGCTATAAAGGGACCCAGAAAATACTAGTGTAAAACCATTCAAACGGAAATGTCCACTCGATACAAACAAAATCAATCAAATTTGGATTATTGCTGTTCTTCATCTGAAAGTTACACTGAGTTCTTATTAACAATGGGTGTTCTCAAAAACGTATACTTGTGATGACACGGCAGTGGATAAGTGATTAGTAACCAGTAAAACTCATCTCAATTTAAGGACAATTTCATTCAGAAATATAATACAGATGCACCAATAATTTCAGTCTATAAATAACCACTGTAAAATTAACCTTTGGCCCTTAAATTACTACACATTATCTACCACAGATAAGTTATTCATGACTCAATATATTGTCCTGAAACAAAACCGTTTCCAAATTTCCAGTCTATTTTAACTAAACCTAAACCTTTACATACTGATCAAAAACTCAACAGGAGTCTTTTCGTGTTTAGGGGTCATTTTCAAGCTATTTTTCGTTAAGATAGGACATTTGATTTAAAGATAGCATCAGGGAACAAATAATATTGCCACAATTTCAGTCTGCTGTTACTTATGACTTTGGAATTGTTCATAGTTCAGGCCATTGGGTTTTCTTGTTTAAAATGTTACACATTTTTGTCATGTCAGAGACTTTTACAGCTTACAACATGGGTTTTGCTAATTGTTGAAGGGCGTATGGTGACATATAGCTGCTTGCATCTACTTTTGGTCACTCTGGTATGCTCTCATTGACAATCATATCACATCTCCTTATTCTTATATTAGTTACTTGAAACTCAAGAGGCATTTTGCACTCAGATGCATTTATTGACCAAAACTTTCGGTATATTTATAGGCACAGTAAAATTGACCTAATAATCCTAAAATTCTTTCCAATGGAGCATTATCAAACCAAGTATGGTGAAATGTTTATTATGGATCGAAACTGGGAAACTGGAAAGCCGACTCCCATACATCTTGCATGATATAGTTGTAATTAAGCAACGTTTACTTTGTGGCAACTCAGTTAAAAGCTGCATGCACTTCTACCTCACCTACACATTTTGTCATAATGTACTTAGATTTTAAACTGCAAAGCTAAAAA